GGAAGGAAGGAAGGAAGGAAGGAAGGAAGGAAGGAAGGAAGGAAGGGTGCAGCAGCCACATATTTCTTTGTGGCTACTCCACCCACACCCCCCCCCCCCCCAATTTGCCTTGTGCAGTCCAACCCAAATAATCTTTCTGGTGAAAATAAAAGCTTTATGAAATGTTGGGCGGCCTGGTAGGAGACCCCTCTTCCTGCCAAAATTGACTCAGAAAAAGAGCCTACTTTTGAGTCTGTCTTGCATCAGCCCAACCCCAACAGATTGTATTTTGTTTTTATTTTATTTGGTCAACTTCTGTGCCTCCCCAACTTGCAAAGTGCGATTCTGGGCAGATAACGTAGGATTAAAGCCAAAAGCGCTATCAGCAAGCTAAAGAGCAATACAAAGGAAAACCTGACATAATCGAGGGTCACCCCCAGCCTATCAGTTCCCTACCATTACAGACGGGCTCATGCAACACCTATTGCCTGAAGGAAAGCCCGGGTCTTCAAGGCCTTAAGGAAGGCAAACAGGGTCAGGACTACCTGAATCTTGGAGATAAACTGTTCCACAGGGCAAACACCATGGCACAGAAGACGTACCTCCCGGCTCCCACCAGATGATAATGTTTTATAGACAGCCCTGCGGCGTGTCCACCAGTCAGATCCTGTGGGACGAGCAGAGCCAGTTGGAGATAGAGGGCCATGCAAGTAACCTGGCTCTGAGGCCCTCAATGGGGGAGGAGGAGGCTGTGCCCCGCCTCAGTTCCCAACCATTGATAATAGAGAGGAGCGTTCTGCCCTTTGAGGGCATCAGAGGATCTTCCCTCCCCGTGTCACTCTGACTCCGGCTTTTTGGGAGGGGAGCAGGCTGTTTCTGGATCTGACCTTGGACCCCTTCTGCTGTTCAGACTCTGATAGAGCCAGGAGATTTGCATCTTGACGTTCTCTGCAAAGCCTTAGGATGAAGAGGAAGGGCAGCGAGCTGGGGCGTGTCCCCAAAACTTTCTTTCCCACTAGAGTAGCAGAGTCACCAGCTGTTTTACAGCCTGTCTTTTCATTTCTTATTGAATGTTGCCCAAAGAAACACAATAAACTGTTGCCAGATTTATTGTTACCATCACGGTAATTGTATGAATAAATTTTGTCACTGGCCATTCAATCATGTTCTCACTGATAGAAATATGGGGAACCAAATGTTGGCAGTCGGGAGAGAGAGGGAGGGGAAGAGCGAAGCGTAAAGTTGTGATGGCTTCAGGGCTGGCTTCAGTTCGGAGGGTCCCTGGAAAAGACATTCCTTTAGCAAGGACCCTTCATCGCTTGTCTGGCTCAAGGCTGCAGAACCCAAAACCCCAGAGAAATATATTTTCCTAAAGACTTGGGAGCAACTTTCAGTGTTTTCCAAAAGTTTTTGCCAATTTTGTTCAGGTTCAGTGTTACAGAAGGGGAAAACGTTGACTACATTAAGAGTAACCTGTGTTTAAATCATTTACAAAAAATAAATTAGAATCAATCAAATGTAATTTTGCAGATTTGGCCCGGTTATTCTGGGGATTTCCCACGGTGCCTTGGAGGGATATCCGTCGGGGGCATGGTGGGAAATTCATTGGAAAGCTAGGTCTGGCGGCCTGATGCTGTTCCCTGTGCCCTGCCATGAAGGGCAAGACAGAAGGAGGCTTAGCAGTGAGTGTTCATAATCCCAGAGGGATTTCTGGACTAGCCACGTCTCTATGCTCAGGGCAAAAACTCTCCCACACATTTTTTCCTCTTAATTTTGATTGGATTTCATGAACAAGCATTTGCTTTTGAAAAGGTTGTGGGAGGAGAACATTTGGGAGACGTGGCAAATGGTGTTCTTGCATTATTGAGCGCTCAGGCAGAGGAGGAGGGGTGTGCATGTCACAACTGTCTCTCCGGCGCTCTGCAGCCTCTCTGGCTTCCCATGTTTTCATTCAATCTCAAGGGAAAGGAAGCATCAGAGTTATAAAAAGATGGGTCACGGAGAACATCACCAACGGTAGCAGACCCATCTCAGTCACCCCTAACAAGAGAAGTGACTCAAAACCAAAACTGAAAGCCCTCTGAGGACCAGGTAAAAAAAGAGGAGCCTTCTTCTCAGAGGAGAAACAATTCTGGAAAATTTCAGCAGTAAAAGAGAAGAGGCCTCATCCAGAATCCAGTGACCAAGTTAATGGGGCTAAGCTCTCAGGGCATAACAAAGGAGATGAAAGCCATCAGACAGTTGATGTTTCTTCCCTATGAAGAAAGGTTGAAATCTTTTTCACTTGGTTTTCTTTAGTTTTTAGCAAAAGTGTGACTGAGACACAGGTGGATAGTAAAGTGCCCAGTGGCATAGGCTTAGCATTGTGGTCTCCACCAGACAGACCATTCACGGTGGAGGGGAGGGTCAAAAAAGTTGAAATAGTGACTACCACTTGTGAAGTCAACCCCCTGCCCCTTTTTATGTGCATCGCATGGACAACTTACATTAAAAAAATTATAGGGCCACATCTGCCATCTTGACTTTTTCAATAGCCCCCCCGTGGATGCCGCTGCCACCAGGCCAAATAGCAAAGGCCATTTTGACTTGAGGGCTCCAGGTGACATCCTGGAAGAGAGGTGGGCATCCACGAACCAGAGATCTCAGGTCATCCCCAAAGCTTTCTGTATTACCCTAAAAGGCCCAGTCACCCAAACTGGGCAGCAGGTCCTCTTTTTAAGAAGGAAGTGTTTTGCCTTCGATTTCAGAAGGAAAAGAAATATCTTCCTATTCTGCCTTTGCAGCCTTCCAGCACGTCTGCACACACACAAAACAGGCAAACGTGGAACGTTTGCAGCCCCCCGCCATGTCCTAGAGCAGTGTTTTTCAACCTAGGCAACCTTAAGATGGGTGGACTTCCACTCCCAGAATTCCCCAGCCTGCATGTCCTAGAGGGAGGCTGGGTAGTTTTCCTGGGGTTTTCCCATTAGCATCTTCTGATTTCTTCAGGGCAACCTGTCTTCCCTTCCAAAGGGAGAAGAACCATTTCAGAAGGTCCTCTGTTGCAAAAGTAATTCAGGTAACTGTGTTGGCGGAAGGCTGGGCTGTTCTTTCCAGACACTTTTTCACCTTGAATTTTCAGAGTGTCCACAAGGAACGTTTGGTTACGGTTGCCAGCAGCTCTGCGAATGCATGAATAATGCCACCTGTGACTATGTTACAGGTACCTGTTACTGCAGCCCCGGGTTCAAAGGAATCAGGTGTGATCAAGGTGAGGCAACTCCTCCTCCTTTCAATGGAGCCTTCCACTCTGTCTGGGGCCACTCTTCCAGAACAGCTCAAAGACTTCCCTGGAAAACCAGAATCCATGGGCACTTACAGCCTGGAAAAAATTCACATGGGAGGGGAGAAGGGGAGGGTCTGCGGACTGTATGGCTTTTGCTCAACTTTTTCCATGAAAACTAGAAACTGGAACCCTTTCAAATGAAAGCTGAAATGCTCAGGTTTAAGCAGGAATGGCATGGTGGTAGAGGTGGAGACACAGCCATGGATCAAGGGAGGCATTTGCTCCTCTAGGATAAAACATTCTGATTCTAATGCCACCGTGCTTCATTGTCCTGTTTGGGGCATTCATTCTCTCCCAAATATCTCCTTGAAGGATGTCTGAAGGGGGATCAAAAAAGTCCGCATGGGGGCCACAACTATGCACAATACAGGTAGAAAAGGGTGGAGCTTTGGTTCCACGGTTGTGGCCCCCAACTTGACTTCTTCGACCAGCTCTCTGTGGACACTCCTGTCCCCTTGCACTTCTGTGGATAAGGAAGATTTGCCCAGAATCATTGGGAGAGGCCATCTGCGTAGCACTGGTTCCCCCAGCTGAAATGAATAAGAACAGGCTGGCATGTGGGGCAGAGATGCACCCTGTAAAATCATTAAAGGAGAGGAAGGCTAGCTTATGTTTCCTTCCAATGGGCACGGGGGCACAGAGTAGCCCTCCAGGTGTTGCCACACCATGTCTCCCAGCATCCCTCACTATTGGGGCTGCTGGGAACTGTAGTTTGGCAACATGCTTCAGACGAGCTGGTGGAAAGGTTTAATATCTGTAATCCCCATAATAGCGGCCCTTTCTTGAACCTGGCCTCCGCCACTTAATTTAATGGTGCATTGTGAATTATTTTTAACAGCGGCTCTCATGATGGAAGAATTAAATCCCTATACTAAAATTAGCCCAGCTCTTGGATCTGAGAGGCATTCAGTGGGAGCAATCTCTGGAATTATTATCCTCCTGCTAATTATTATGGTTTTGCTGGCACTGTTTGTGTGGTATCGACGTAAGCAGAAGAAGGGGCACGACATGCCGAGCGTCTCGTACACCCCAGCCATGCGGATGACCAACACCGATTACTCACTCTCCGGTAAGGGGTCTTTGGATGAGAACGGCGTCAGCCAAAGGGGAGGGGAAGTGTTTTTCTCTCGGAAACAAGGGCTGCTTTTCCCCGTGGCATTGGCTAATTTCGTCCCCCCAACCTTGGCTTGGAAGTGTGCATGAGCTGGGACCACAGGGAGCTGACAGAGGAGCAAAATCAATTATCCCCAACACATTCCTTGCTGACCACAGCAGCAGTTTTCCAAGGTTCGGTCTTGTCTAAGCAAGGGGGTCGGAATTCTCCGTGGCAGGACAATGCTCCTTTTGCACATTCAAAGTTCTCTAGAAGGGATTCCATCTTCCCTTTCTTAAAGTTGCACGTTGGCGGTTTAGAGATGGTCTTGGAACAGCAGTTTGAGGCTCCTAGGGCACAGGTTGCCCTATTCCCACTGGAAACTGGGGCACTGGAGGTGATCTACCCCATCCCAGCATCTGTGCCTTGGTTATTTCCCGTTATGGTCTTCTAAAGCAAAAGTGGACAACCTGAGGACCTCTTTAAAAAAACAAAAAAAGACTCCAACCCTCCTTTCTGTATTTTTGTGGCCCTGGACTTCCCCATAAGCACGGCTGCCAAAAATCAGCTGCAGTTTTTAGCCATTTTCTGGTAGGAACCTGCAAAACCTAAAATAAGCTTCACATTGTGAAACCTCAGACTTCCTTCCAGTCGAGGGCAAGGAGGAAGCAGAAGATCCTGACCTGCTGATGTGTGACATGGCTACTCCCCTCTGCCTAGTTACTCCACCCAACCTTCTCAAAAGGCCTCCCAGTTACCTGCTCTGTTTGGAAGGTGGTTTGGAAGGCAAAATTAGTCCTGAAGGCAGCTACAACCACTCTAGCAGGGGCTGCTACCTGAGGCTTCAAGACCTGTATGGGCTCGGTTCCTTTCTGGTGAACTCAAGAGCATGGACAGGCTCAGAGGCAGGGTCCCCCTTGTGCATGAGCTTCCCATGCTCTCAGCTCACCCAAGAAGCAGGAAACATCTAAAGACTGCAGCTTGGGGTCTTCAAAATCCTCAGGTCCTTCAAGGTAGGCCTGGTTAAACAATAGACAATGCCAGGATTCCAGGAAGGCTATTTTATTGTTCTAGGGCAGTGTTGTCCAAACTTGGGCACTTTAAGATGAG